AAAAGAAAAAAAAAGAAGAGAAAGAAAGGAAAAGGAAAAAAAAGGAAAGGAAAGGAAAGGAAAGGAAAGGAAAGGAAAGGAAAGGAAAGGAAAGGAAAGGAAAGGGAGGGTCGTTCCTTTTCCTCTTTCTGTCAGACTCCAGATTGGCAGCAGGGAGGACTTGGTTTGTTCTCTTTCTTTGGCAGATTCCCCAAGGGAAGCGTGAAGAAGCCGGTCAGAGAGCTTGGAGCCCGGCCCCAGTTAGCCACCATTCCCCTCTCCTCCTCCTCCTCGTTGCTCTGCTGGGAGGAAGCTGGCTCTCATAAACGGTCTGTGGCCTTCCTTTCCTGCTGGACAACGAACCGTACTGGCAGTGACGGTGCGATGGGCTGGCTTGTTTCTCAGTGGCCCCTTTGCCTCGGGGCCCAGAGGGCTGCAGGCTCGGAGCCACCTTAGAAGTCTTGGAGCTCCGATGCAACGCGCGTCTCCGGCGGCCCAGCTCAGCCAAGCTGGCTCGGGGCTGCTGACCAGCAAAGCGAAACGAAGCAAAGCCGCTTCAGCGAGGCCCGAAGAAAAGAGTCCAGAATGCAAACAGCCACAGCACACAAATAATGACGAGACGGCAAAGCAGAAGTCCAAACATCAAGGGCCGCCTATCAGCCCCGACCCATGCAAGGCCCACCGCTGCGTCACCCGCGGACGACCATCCGGCCTCCAGCAGAAGGCAGCTCCCTAGGTTGGGCGGCAGCCTGTCCCCCATCCCCAGAGCCCGCTGCTTCTGGCCCTGCCTCCCCGAATGACCGCAAATAGCTGTAGCCCACCCTCCACCGCATGGCGCTTCAGCAATCTGAAGATCGTTATCGGATCTCCCCTCAGTCCTCTCTTCTATGGGCGAATCATAACTGTGATCACGGAACGCCGCCGTTCCTCAGAGGGCTCGGTCTCCAGACAGCGCACGCTCCTGGTAGCCCTCCTCGAAATCCACCCCAATTTGTTACTGCCCTTGTTGAACCGAGGAACCTGGTATCCTGAAGAGCTGTGGCCCAGGAAGAGCAAAGGGGAGCAGTGGCTCTCTGCGATCGGGACTCACCACTCCTGCCAATGCACCCCAAGATGGCATTTGCCTTTTCAGCAGCTGCAGCACACTGTTGGCTCATGACTAATTTGGGTTTCACAAGAATACCCAGATCGCCTTCACCTGTGCTACTGCCAGGCCTGGTCTCCCCCCTCCTGTGCTTGAGGGGAGATCACAGAGGTTAAGTCATTCTTCCTTCATGGAAAGTCTGAGCGATATGATTACATACGGTCAAATTTTAATTTTTTAAGACTTGATGTTGTGGGATATTTAATTGATCTATATTGTTGTTATCATTTCCTTTGGCTTTTTTTTTTTTGCTTTGAAGAGAAGAGAAGAGAAGAGAAGAGAAGAGAA